GTGATGAGGCCCAGTGTGGTGGTATGGCCCACCATGGTGGTCTGCCTCAGCGTGGTGGTGGGGCCCACTGTGATGAGGCCCAGTGTGGTGGTATGCCTCTCTATGGTGATGGGACATACCATAATGCGTCCTACTACCATGGTGGTGTTCATCATCAGAGTAGTCTTCATGATAAGAATGGTGGGGATGGATAGTGGCAGAGGAGTGACCCCAACCAAAGGATGTGGGATGGTGGACCTTGTCCTGAGGATGAGCCTTGCTATGGTGGGGATGGGGGAGACCACTGTCATGGAATTCTTGATGGGCTTCTCTGTGATGGTGGGACTCACCATGATGATGACCTCCTGAAGGGGGGTGGGATTCATGATGATGGTGGGGTCTGTCGTGGTCTGGCCTGTGGTGCTGGGATGGGGAGTGGGGGTGAGAGGGTATATCCAAGGTGGTGTCATGCTCATTTTGAGCCTTTTCAGCTATCGAGGGTTCACTCATGGCTATGCTAGGAACCCTGGAATGAAGAGAGCTTAAGAACTGGAAGCCATAGGCCCCTTTCTATGTTTCCCTTCTCTCCAAATCTGGCTCAGTGCCAAATGTGTCAACCTTCTCTCGGAATTCTCCTCTCTGTGATGTCACCAGTAAGCTGGTGGATATAGTTATCCCATTTTACAGATGGGGGAGGTGACTCAGAGTACAAATGAGTTGCTCTATGAATAAAAGCTTAAAATCAGTATCAACTCCAAAGTCTCTACTTGCAACCACGTGCGGGCTTGTCTCCCTCCTGAAATCCACTGCAGAGTTTATCCTACACACTCAGTTCACTTGTGCACAACACGGTTCCTCTGGAAACTTCTAGGTCTCTCCTTTGACTACAGCTGCTTCCTGAGTGCTTGGCCACAGCCAAGTTCCTAGTGCAGGGGCAATGTGTTCCCAGGGATGGAGAATCAGTTTTTCTCCTCAGAGAGCTTCCTGTCCAGTACCAACAGCAGATAGATAGACAGTTTGCGACACACTTATTGTTCCACAAACCTCTGGTTTTCTACCTGGGATGGAGACTCTCACCTAGAGTGTATCTTTTTTCCTTTTTGTAGTGCTAGGGATGGAACCTTTGCATACTAGGCAAGCACTCTTTGCAACTTTGCACTGAGCCACACCCTCATCCTTTTTTATTTGTTATTATTTTTTTAAAATTTTTTTTGTCGTTTTGAGACAGGGTCTTACTATGCAGTTTAGGCTGATCTTGAACTCACTTATGTAACCCAGGCTGGCCTTGAACTTACAACAATCCTCCTGCCTCAGCCTCCCAAGTGCTGGCATTACAGGCATGCACCACTATGTCCAGCTTCCTTTTTCATTTTGATATTACACTGGACCTTGGACAAAAGGCCATGAAGGGATGATTATTTTTTATTTTGAGATGGGTATCATGGACTGATCAGGCCTTTCAAACAAGTGGATGGCGAAGGCTTAAATAAAAGAGACAACTGTTATTATTTTAGGGCTCCAGGAGGTCAAAACCCT